GCCGAAACGTTGTAATAAATATGGCGACAAAGATGAGTACAATAGTCTGAATAATGTAAATAGTGTACAGATATAGACAGATATAAAAGGACAAGAATTAAAATAAAAGTAGATCAAACTTAATAATTAAAAGAAATAAAATACAATTATCAGCTTCATCATCATCATTTCTACTGCACAGCAAATTCATCATCATCATCATTCAAATTTTACTTCAACTTCTTTCGTGTTGAATACAGTAACAATCTTTATTTTTTTTAATCTAAAGTGTTATTGCTTAACAGTTGTCCTTGTTATTAATAGAGTACTGTAATGGGTGGGTTGTTAACAGTACAGGGAGGGTTTTAAAAGTTCAAATACATGTTAAATAAATACTGTAAATATGGCGTCCCTACTTCGCGGAAATTCAGTTATCGCGGCCAGTCTTTGAACCAATCTACCACGATAAACAAGAGATCACTGTATATGGGTAAAATATGTCAGACTTAGGAGTAATGACGGATTATGTAACATCCACTATCTTTCCTTTTCAGTGTTGGAGCGAAGTCATATAACACATTTCTACACTTTGTTAGCACATTCTCTTTCTAGAAATAAAAACTTCCTTTAAATACTTCTAATTTCCTAGCCATCTTTATTTTTATTAGAAATATCTGGATAAATATCTATTCTATCAATGTCAGCTGCATATATTTGGTAAACCCAACAGATTCATTATTCAATTAGCAAGCTATATTCTGTTTTTTTTTTTTTCAAGACATCTTTCAGCTAAATTAATATTATACCATAAAAGAATGTTTCCAGTTTTGATTTAATGAATTCTTCATGGAATTGCTTGATATTTTGAACTTGCAGGAACTTCTGATGAAACAATAAATATTTCACTGTTCAAAAAAAGTAACAAGTTTGACAAATATGTTGCATATGAAGGCATTTACTATTTCAACTTTCAATTACTATCTTATTTTTCCAGACTGATGACAAATATTGGCATACAGAAAAAAATGTTGCACAGGGTTATTCAAATGAGTCAGTTGCTCACTAGCATTGTGCAGGAACACTATGTCTAAGTTTCAACAATTCAGAATTTCTTCTGAATGCCACTAAATATAGAAAAGAACCTGTTGTCTAGCAGACTCTGTTCCACTACCTACTTGTTAATACTCATTGTATAACTCAAAAGTATTCCTTACCCAGAGTTTAATATTTGAAGGTGTAGGAAAGCAGTTATAAATGACCTTTTTTGATTCCATTTATCCAAAGTCATTCTGTCTTTGTTCAACATTTGTAAAATTAATGTTTACTGACTGCACCTAATTTTTTTATGAGTATTTGTGTTCTTTTTCTTTCATCATAGAATTTTGGCCTTTTGTTTTCTAGCCTTCAAGTCAAATTGCAGAAATTTGTAACAAAGAAACAACTTTGGATAAGACATGAATTTGCATCCCATACCACATGAACTTGCTATGTCATGTAGCATGTTTATACCATTTTTGCACTGAAGTTGTTGACATTTTGAATTATCATTTGTCCTTCTTTCACTATCTTCATTCTAGCTTACGTCATTCTAAATCTTCAAAAGTTTCTTTTTAATACTGTATCACTTTAGGACATAGGTGATCAAAGCTCTCCAAAGATTCCTTTTCTTTATTATTTGTGAATTACTATGTATTCTTAGGAAAGATATTGGAGTTGTTTCCTGTTGTCTTCTCCATTGTTTGGAATTTAGAGTTTTCCTTCTCTTAGACTGGTTACCACCCAAAGCTACAGAGACTAGTTTATCCTGCTATTTAACCCATAGCTGTGGGGAAAAGAGACAAATTCATACCTTTCTTAAGGGTATTTTTTCAAAAGTGAATGCAACAGACTAATCTGGAATTTTGACTTGAACTAATTCCACTTCCCTTGCTGATATCCATTACAGTATTGACACATCTATATTTCTTACTGACCCCACAAGAAGTAGCAATTGTCATTTCATGAAAACATAAAACTTATGTTTTCTTTTTTAAAAGTTGAGATCAATTTTGTCAGTGAAATTCAGTCTATATTTAATAATGTTAAATATATTTATTATCAAATCAAGTATCATATATTCAATATTAGATATATAGATTATGTTTGATAACATTAGATACAATATAGACTTGTTTTCTGATAAAATATATATTCATTATAATCAAATACTATATTTGATATTAGGAATATTAGACATCAGATATGATATTTTTGTAAGATATAATTTTTTAGTCCAAATATAGTGTAAATAATGGTATAATTTTTGTCTGAATTTTTGGGATGAATTATTATTATTATTATTATATTCACTGTTATACTCAGACTCATGTCACATCATGATTGTCACAGTCATAACATTTCAGCCATTTTAGTTGCCATCCTTTATTAGGTGTCTGTTGTCTTTGATAAGCTGAGAATTGCAAATGGAACTCTTTATTTAATTCATGGGAGTAGATTGTTCTTATTCTGTTGTCCCTGCCAGGGGAGATAACTTGTATTAGTTAATCCTTTCAGGTTAATGTCTAGGTCAGGTTGGGTTAAGTCATGTACTCAATGGAAGAGACAGATTATATCACAAGGTAAGAATGATACAAGATATCATCTGACACTGACAATGAAATGATAACAATTTATTAGGGTGTCAGATAAATTAATTCATTTTTTCCAATGTTATATGAATTAACATACAAAATATCTTTACCATAATGTTTTATGTTTTTTTGTAGGCCTATCCCTCCTCGACAACTTTTGCTTATTGTTATGAAGAATATATTATTAATTTGTTAAAATTATTAATGAAAAATAGAATTAAAATAAAAGGAAAAAAAAAAAATTATCTGACAGGCCATTATATGTTGGTACGTCCAGTTATTTGCTAGAAAATGAACATTTATTTATTTATTTATTATGTCACTTGATTCCTTGGGGAACATAGGGCTGCAACAACACCTCTCCAATGAATGTGGCCCCAGGTGATATTCTTCAACTTGGCTCATGTCGTGCCGGCTGCTTTCACCTGTGTCAACACTGCTGCACCAAGCCTCTTTTGGTCAACCCACTTTTCGCTCTGCCTAGTGTTATTGAAGCAGGCTTGCGGAGTGTGTGGCTGATCCATCCCCATTAGAAAATGAGCATGAATGATGAAAAAAATGTCTCAAAATTTAATAAAAACAAAGTTTTATCATCAAAATCTTTATTAACAGGAAAGACCAACAGATACATTTATGTAAAAATTATTTTTTAATCCTCTTAAGAACCTTCGCAATTTTGGTTAAAAATTTTGTTTTTCTGGCATCAATGTGGGTTCATAAATTTGTATGGGAAATTTGAATGTCTTTTTGCAGTGCACTGATACTACATAATAGTTCAGTACTCGTTTCTTAGTTTTTAACAATATTTTTCTGTTTCTTAATACTTTGCTCAGTTTTTGGAAGGCATCTTTCGTTATCCTAATGCACTTTCAGATTTCCACGTTGTACTTTCTGTCCTCTATTAAAACACTTCCTAGATATCCCACTTGTTGCACCTGTTTGACTTTGGTATCTCCAATCTGCAATTTGCATGTTGGGCTGTTCATTTTGTTAAAAATTATGCATTCAGTCTTCTTGCATTTGATGGTTACACCTTTTTTTTTTTGTTTTCCTTCACTACCTTCTGTAGGGGTTCACGTTCTTTCTTTTCTGTGTTTGCTAACAACACAGTGTCATCTGCATATCTTATGTTGTTAAAATTTTGGCTGCCAATAATGAACCCTGGTAGGACTTCTAATTCTCTCAGAATGGCCTTGCCGTATAGGTTGGAATGGTCTGGTGAGAAGAGACATCCTTATCTGACACCCCTTTTTTATTTTTGTATATTTACTGAACTCATCTTCTCCATTAGCATAAGCGTAACTACAGCTGACACCTGAAGAAGGCTAGAACATAACACTGGCTAAAAATTGGGATTGAAACAAATAAAATAAGGACACTTGCTTGAATAAGTCAGAACAGGGTATATATATCAATACATTAATATTCCATAAAAATTATCAAATTATTACGAAATTTATTAAAATAAAAATGTCATAGTAATTGTAAAAGAAAGGGGATAAAGATATATTTTAGATTGAAAGATATGTCATTTTTTGATAAAATGACTTTTCTCTTTTTTTTTTTAAACACTCTTCTCTGGTGATTTTTTCCTACAAAAGATGGAGATTTGCTGCCCACTTAAAGTGACAACCGGTTTTTTTTTTGTTTAGTAACCTTGTTTAAATGCCTCATGTGAGTTGCATTTCATTCAGTCTGGTCTTGTTGATTCTTGAGAAAATCTCACTTCAGTGATCAAAGCAAAATTCTCTCAGAGAAAAAAAAAAGTATATTTTCGAGTGAGCTGATCACTTATTATTCATTTAAATCGGGACAGGGAAGAAGATTTGATCTTTTTTTATTTACTCTACATATCTGATTTGTTTTCGTGATGAAACATTTTTTTATAGAAAAAAAATTACAATGTGTTTGTTTTACAAGCACTACACTACACAAATTTGTTTTAAAATGAAGAAAACACTTGAACGAAGGAGAGAACTGAGAAACTTATTTCTTTCTCTAGTTTCCTGATGTCTTATCTGATCTAGTAAAGGTTAGCCTGATAAATTTTGTGGGCACGCTAAAAACACCATTCCAGCCAGCCAGGACATCCGGCAAGAGGGAGAAGAAAAAAAACAGGGAAGTTTGCGTCGCGTTTCACTTTCGAACTTTTATGCCACGATGAACGAATGAGTTTAAATCATCTTACCTCCACCCTCGACTTAGGAGCAGGAAAGTTAGAAATAAATAAATAAAACATTCTATGTTAACTGCTTGTTGGCCGTTGATTTGTCACACACGCACACAGCCACACCTCGTCCCAGGCGCCAGATATATATATATGTAGGCTTGTCCCTGCCACTTCGCACCGCGAAAGAGACAGTAGTGTGAATAACACGTGGACTAGTAAAAATGATGTACAAAGTTTTAAATTCAGACCAACTTCTTGAACTTTTTGCGAATCTCAGAGATGGTCTACCGGGTACTGCAAAGGTAAGAAAAATAAGCGACTGAAAGGAAATAGTGCTTGAGTAAATTAAGTCATAAATCAGTTAAGTCTAAAAAAAGTACCTGCTGCTCTGACTGAATGTTTTGTTTACATACCGTACACTACACACAATTCTCATTTCTGAGTTGAAGTCCAGTTCCCTCTGTTTTAAATGTTTTTTTAAGTAAATTACATGTTTATGTAGTTTATTTAAAAATATTTCTTTTTTTTTAGTTTTTTTATTATTATTTTTATTCTCTAGGTTATCCGTTTATAACAATAATGCTTTTTAGCTTTCAGATAAGTATAAAATAAAGTTACTACTACTACTACATCTCGCTTTGAATATTGTCTTAAGTTTTCTCGCACACCACGTAAAACAGGGCCGATCGGGAGCTAACTGTAGGGCGAGGGTTAGCAAGCTCAAATTACCGATCAAATCGCGAGTCTTACAGTGTGTTTGATTAATATGAATGGATAAGCACTCTACTTAACTACGTATATATCTTCTTCTTGAAAGCTAAGTAGACTATATACACCAAAAAAATTGTTTATTTTTGTACTAAATTTGCAGTGATTATTATTATTATTTAAACCAGTCTTGGTACAAGAGCACAGTAGTGAGTGATTGAGGCATTCATTGATATATGGATCGAACTTTTATTTACAATCGAACTCACTATTATTAGCTAACTGAACTCCGTGAACTGTGAGCAGGTGACCATAAATTCTTAATCTGCTTTGCCTAGCCTTAACCGAGGAAAGGCGAAGTTAATCTTTTTAAATCTCTGTCGAAAATCTATCCTTTTCTTAAAGACAGGTGTGTAGTGTACATACACCTGTTTTTGTAGTTTTGTTTGTGTTAGTGTGTAGTGTAAAATAGAACTCAACAAGAATCAGTTTAAGTTTTAACACGTAGAATTGTTTAAATGTGTTTTAGTTTTCTCTTATACACATGCTCACAAGTTTCCATTTCTTTTGAAACTTCAAAGTAACCTTTAAAAATGCATAAAATAAAATAATTATTCCTTGTTTTTTCTTTTAGTTTTCCTTGTCATTTCTGATCTCAGATTTGAAGTACTCTTTGTCACGCACAAAAGCTAAAAATAGAAGAAAGATTGTGTTCCGCCAATCTTGCAAATAACTGCTTGTAAACTCTACATTTGGATTTTTTCTCTTTTTTAACACCTGGTCTCTGATACTGGAGCCGGTGTAGCGGTGAAAATGAAATTGTTACCTCAGACTATTTTTTTAGTTTTTTTGTTTAGTGTAAAAATTGTTTTCTAAAAGTTATGAAATATTTTTATCCACATTTTCATTGTTAACAACTTTTTTTTATCTTATATTTTTTGGTTTTTCTTCATTCACTTACTCTGTCAGGAATAAAATGTGCAAGAAGCTGATGTCTAAAGAAATACTAGCTACATTATTACATCATACAACAGAGGACTATCGGTTAAAAAAGTGCTTAAAATCAAATTGAGATAATAAAAATATATTTTTTTATCAACTTCAGAAAACTATTTTAATTTTTTAAATAAAACCTTGTCTCATTTCCTGAAAGGATGTAAACTTTGTATTATTAAAAAGTAAATTAAATTCTTTAAAAAAAATTAATAAAACCCTATGGACTAAGAAGACAAGTGCTCCCCCCACAAAAAATGTCATGAAATTGAAATATTTCAGCATAATTTGATAATTTTGTTCAAATATTTTCCTCTGAAATGATTATGACGGGTAAATTACCATAAAAAATGTTTGGTAAGGTCTTAAAAACGATTATCGTTTATTTTTATAAATCTTGAATCCATTTCATTTAGAATTGTTAGTTTTTTTAGAATCATTACATTGCATATTTCCGATGGGTCGGTGTACGAAGCCAGAATTCTGAATGATGATTGGAATATTGTCAAAGTCACAAAAATAAATAAATAAATAAAATAACTCTACCCACATTTCCCTTCGCCTCCCGTTTGGCTTTGTGTACTAAACTCAGCTGAATAAGTAAATATCAATAATCAACTCGAATAAGTAATTTATGAACATGTTTTTTTTTACCTTGATGAAAGAGTTGCTATTAACTAGCAGGTGTTTCGAAGTGTAAAAATAACTTTTACGATGATAATGAATGGTAAAAAACGGAATCTATCCCTCCAACCAATCTGTTTTGTTTTTAATTTATTCATTTGTTGCAGATAACATTTCATTTATTCAGTGGAACAAAAATACAATTAATTACCATGAGTGAACTGAAGTTAAAAAAATATGGATTACTACTTCTTGTTTTTGTATGTTACGTACACTCTCATCTGTACTGTATATTATAAATTTTATATACATATTCTTCTTAAGATTTAAAATCTTAAGATTTTTTTTTCCAAATATTTTCAATTATTAATGGGATTCTTGAAGTGTTAATTCTGAATTAAATTTGAAATCATCCTATTTTTCACTCACTCATAAAGTAAGAATTGTCATCTCCTTTTTTTATTACACTAGGAATGAAAGTTATATCTCGTGAAGGTAAGTAATAATAGCAATGTTTGGAATGCGATATTGAATCAATGAATACTTTCAATAAAAATAAAATTATTCGATATCGCATTGCAAACATAGTTTCTTACCTTCACGAGATATAGCTCGACATGACAATTCTTACTTTACAGTCGATGTCCACATTCAATTTTCTTTCGAAAATAGATTTTTTTTCTTTATTTGGCATTTTGCAAACATTGAATGGCTTGTTGACTACCACCTACCGGGTCCACGGTCCTGGAGAAAGAAAACTACTTGAAAAAAAAAAACAGTTGACTAAAAAAACCTAATTGACTTTATTAAAAAAGTGATGCAATCCCATCACAATATAATTCAATATTCTGTCTTGATAAGTAGGCCTACACTTCAAGCCTCATTAAACAATTAAGTGACTCTTCAACATTGGTGTTAAATGCTTAGCAAGTTTGTCTCGCGAGATAAATTACAACTGAATAGCGAGTTCGATCCTCACTGGGTGCTTTATACCACATCTAAGTTACGCTTCAAAAAAATCACCATTGATCAATCACTAAAATTGAACTATTGTTCCTGACATTAATAATTAAAAATGATTAATTTGTAAATTGTAATTATGTTGAATTGTTTATTGAAGGAATGTGCATCTCACACACAATAGACAAGGTTATAGTTGTTATTTTCAGGTTTTTCTCTTGATTCTTCGACCTCGTAATCATCAACAGTCAACACTGTGTATTTATTTATCAATTCCGTCTTTTAGTCAACTTTTTATTCATTATCTTTTTCCAGAACCGTAGGCCGGCAAATGGTAATCAAGCCCTTATGATTGCTCCTGAACAAGTTTTTTGATTGCCAAATAAAAGGGCAGTCAAGTCTTACTTGAATTTTGTGATTAGTTGAAAATTTTAAATTAAGTAAAAAATCGTTATTTTTTTGTTGTTGTTTTTTTTTGTTTTTTTAAAAGATTTTCCTGTGAATGAATGAACAACCAAAATCTTTCCAGAATGGCTAATCTATTAATCTTATTTTCTATATCTTGAAAGATGAGCTCTAGCCACATTAACCAAACCATAACTTAAGAAAAAATAATAAAACAAACTCCCATACTCATTGGCTTCAAAAACTGATAAAAAACGTATTAAAAAAAACTGTGTATGTCTTGTGCGCGAGCGACTTCAATATGCTTGTGAGCTTCTTCTTGTGTCATTTTAATTATTTCAAGCACACACATACGCACACAAGTTGAGTAAGTTTGAAATAAGACATTGGAAATAGATCCCTCTCCCACTCAGTCTGGACAACTTCTACCCTGGGTTGAGCAATAAAATGTTGAAAAAAATAACTCTAAAATTTAGAAGATTTTGTTGAACTTTTCGGAAATTATTCAGTCATAAAATATAAAGAGAATTATTTTTTTAAGTTTTTTTTCTTTAATTTTATAAAAATATTTTTTAAAATCTGTCTTTTATTAAATTATACATGCGCTCACGCAATCGTACATTCACATGCAATTTGAATTAAACTGAAATGGACATTTGTGTCACGAAGGTTAATTTACCTTTTTGTCTGACAACGAACTAAACTGGAGCAAACATAAGCCGAAATATATGCAGATGTGACCCTTTTAAGTCATTTTTATTAAGCACAACATACTTTAAATTTGGCGTTTAAAATTGGGCCAATAATTTAGATTTGAAAATTGATAATCTTGCTGTCAACGAAGCGACAGGTAGCGAACTAGACTATAAAAACGAGAGAATTTGAAGTTTGATTTCGAATTAGAGGAAGGAACGTAATTTAAAAAAAAAGGGGGGGTAGTTAAAAATCCGTGCCCTATAGTTAGAATTTGATTTGGTAAAAAAAAAAAAAATTTTTTTTTTTTTTTTTTTTCGACCAATTTAATTTTTTTTTTCATACTTAACGCTTCTGTTTAATTTCAAAGAATAAAGTTATTTTTCTTTTTTGGATCATTTGAATTTAATTTTCTTGTGACTGAGAAAAATAGTGTTGTCCATGGAATTGCATCTATCGAACTGCTAGGTAGGTGAAGTTAAGTGAAATTTGCTGCGAGTGCAAATATTAGAGAATTAGTGTTAAAAAACATAAACACCGTTCTTAGTACTAATAAAAATATTAAAATTTTCTTAGTGTTATTTGCTACTATGTTATTGTTCTATTAGGCACTTAATGAAAGTAGAATTTAATTTAACTAACAATGAATGGCTTTCGATGCTATTATAGTGGGTTATCAGTTGTATAGTGAAGATTAGTTTGATTTGGCCTTATTAGTTAGATAGCCCACCATAAGAGGGGTATAAAACAAGAAAATCAAATTGTAAAGTGAAACAACAAATTTATATACATATAAATCAATTAAAGTCTCTACAAATAAAATTAATGTATTTTGGTCGATACAAGGTCGTCAGAATGTTCGTAGTAGTCCTTGCAAGAATGAGTTTGTGTATGTATGTACGTATGTATGTATGAGCGT